GAAAATTAACTTATAAGATTTATATAAATAAAATTTTTAATTCAAATGTCATTTTTTCAAAAATAAAAAATAAAAAAATGAGTTTTTAAATATGCCTTCAAAAAATATTTAGGAGGACGAATTGTCTTACACTATTTTCATATATATACATATATATAATTTCTTTTTCATGTTTTAAAAAAGTTTTTATCTTTTCCAGTTAAGACTACATATTATTAAAAAGGGAATTTCTTATTCTGTGCCCTTAAAACATAAGATAAGAGTAACTTATTATATTATTTTGTCATTAATATTTATAATAAAATTAAAAAACTGACATTAAATTTATTAATTATCCAATCAGAAATATCCATATATTCAAAAAATATATATCTAATGTGTTGAGCCTTAGGTGATCCACTATTAACCTGTAAGAGAACCCAACATTGTCACTGGACTACAACTTAAATTTTTTTTTAAGGTGAAGACATTATAAATATAAAAAAATATTTTACAATTTAAATTGATTTAAATTGTAATATAAAATAATTTTATAAATATTATTTTAAGCAACAAAATATTAATGTTAATAATTAAAATTAAAATATTACATCATTGAGCCTTTATCATTAGATTACCAACAAAGTACTCCCTTTGTTCCATTATATTAGGCATTTTTTATTTTGAACATGAGGAATTATGAAAAATGAGAAATTATCAAGGTGTCAATGAGAATCAAATTTGTAATCAATGTAATATAAGTATTAATACTAAAAAATGAACAATTAAATCTAAATGTTCGGCTCTTTTAAGGAGGAAATTTTGTTCCGTTTTATATGTTGTTTTTCAAAATTCAACGTTTCATTAATACCCTTTTTCCACTTTACCCTCCACTGCCCAACTGTATAGCACCATCACTCCACCAAGTTAAAAAAATTTGTGACGTAATTTTTTCGCTCGAGCTAGCAGTATGATATTTGCTGTCTCGAGCTAAAGAAATTACTCCATGCGGAAGGTTTTAAAAATCAATTATTAAATTGAAAGTTTTGTTAATATAGATTATATATATAAATTTTTGTATTGATTTAGTAAGTTTAACTATTTTGTTAATTATAAAAAAATTTAATATTATTAAATATATATTAATAAATAAATTATTTT